ATTTTGAAAATTAAAAATAATAATTTCATTAAAAAAAATATTTGAACGGTTAGTTTTAATTGTTTTTAGATAAACCACCTATTTGCATCCATTTTTAAAATGGATGCTTTATACCTTGGGACTGTATATTGTAAAAATGTGGCCTAGCCCGCATAAAACAATTTCCATTTATTTATTCGCTCCGGCAAAAGAACTCTTTAAGACCATTCTTTTGATATAAAAGTTCATGACCTGCTCTGGAATCAATGAGTATTTCCGAGAAAAAAAAAAGGATTTTGAGTTTCTATTGAAGTTTAGGATGTCAATCTTTTCAAGCCCATAATGCTACAACATTTTTAGAAACCATGTTTGTGGTATTTGTATGATCCAAAAATTTGCACAAAGTGTCTTCATCTAAATAATCAAATTTTAAAAACAAGAAAATTTCAATTTGAACCCTAGATATGGTCAAAATGAGTCCCCTCCAACAACGAATCTAGACCATTCATTTGGGGAATTTCAAGATATTAGCCTTTACAAACTCAATCATTTTTTTCTTTTTTACCTTTTTTTATCTAATGATAATAAATCCATCGAAAAAAATTGGAAATAAAAACTCCTTCGAAAGCCTAGATCTAACCATCTTATCAAAACCGACGGCCTATGTTAATTGGGCTAAAAAAATACTTTCTAGGCTCCATTTTTGAATTTTCCTTTTTTGTGATTGTTCATTAGAATAAAAAGAATGAATATTTCAAAATTTGGATCAAACAAAAGTCCCTAACATAATGTTTGAAGATTATTGTATTATATTAATATTCAATCGTTACATGAATTCATTGCCCTTTTTGTTGAGCGGTGATCTAATGCAACGATTGTATTATAGTATAATACGACACTTCTAAAAAACCATGTTTGTGGTATTTGTATGACTTAAAAGTTTATACATACACTCTCTTCATAATCAATATAAAAAAAAAAGTTTCAATTTGAACTCTAGATATGGTCAAAATGAGTCCCCTCTAACAACTAATCTAGACCATTCATTTGGAGAGTTTTAAGATCTTAGCCTTTACAAACTCAAAATCAGTTTTTTTTTAATACTGTTCATCTAATGATAATAAAGCCATTTAAAAAAATTGGAAATAAAAAACTCCTTCTAAGACCTAGATCTAACGATCTTATCAAAATGGACGGCCTATGTTAATTGAGCTAAAAAAATAATTTCTAAATTTCATTTTCCAATTTTCTTTTTTGTTATTGTTCATTAGAATAAAAAGAGTGTATATTCCAAAACTTGGATCAAACAAAAGCCCTTTTTTGTTGCATTTATATTAATATACAACCATTGCATGAAATCATTGCCCTTTTTTGTTTCTAGTTTTGAGGTTGAGTGAGGAGGTTACCCTAAAATTAGGGTCCTAAAATACAAAGACTTATGACCCAAACCTTTGTTGGAACAACCATGGCAACCTTCTTTCAGAATATCTAAGTGACTGTAAGGGCAATCAACCAAACAAAATAAATAGGAAAGCGTTGAGATTAGCCCACTAGTTCATATGAACATATGAGCTCAACGGTTTAGATTCAATCTGGCCCGATCTGACGGTCATGACCTCATTTCGTATTTTAATTTTAATTTTAATTTTTTTTTTACGAATCCAAAAAATTTGAAATTTTAGGCATGTGTTCTTCAAAAATAGGAAAATCTAATAAAAATCTCAAAAAAATAATTTGCAAGAAATAAATTTACCAAAATACCCCTGAAAGTTTTGGAGGTATTTTGATCAATTTATTTTTGCAATTTATTTTTTAAATATTTTTATTATGTGCGCCTTGATGAGAAGAATGGATGCATAAAATTTCAAATTATTTGGATTCGTAAAAAAAAAAAAATTAAAATACGAAATAAAATTGTGACTGTCAGATCGTTCCAGATTCAATTTGAACCATTGAGTTCATATGTTTATATGAGCTAGTGAGCTAATCCCAATATTTTCCAAATAAATAATAAAAAAAGAGTAAAACACTAATTAAAATGGCAGCAGGTTTACACTACATGAAAGGTTCTAGTCTTCAAGAAGGAAGAAACCTCGTTCCTCGTGTCAATGTTGTTTTATACATTTGGCTGGGATAATAGATGATTTAGTAGCAACTTTCGCATGCCAACAGTAGTAGGACCTCATGTTTTAGTACTTGAATCTAAAATATGTTAGATCATCTCATTTATATCAAGACTCAATATTCTCAATCGAAACCATGTCCCGAGAGGTATAATTATACTAAAAGAATTGTGATCCAACAATCAAACATCTCTCTGTTATACAGAATTTTTTTTGTTGGAAAGAACTGTTCCAGAGTTGTTTATTTTCAATAATTTCTCAAATTATGAGACAACAATCAAGCAGTCAGCAAAAAGAACTTGGAGCAAAGGCAGTTTTCGTTGAATTTACCACAGGTAAAGAGTTTTTCTCCTGTTGCATTGATTTTGGAATGAGCATTGCACATTCATACAATCAATTGAACAGAAAAAGAAGCAATTTAGTTTCCTGATCCCTTATTGCAGGACGGCCAACAAGCGCAACAATGATACAAAAGTCACATCCCTATTTATCCTATCATTGCAGGGCGGGCACACACACCCTCTTTTCTCTTCTTAGAAGTGCAGATCTAGTATAACTGGTTATTATTTCTTCCAAAGGAGACTTCAGCATTCAAAACAAGACACCGAGACCCAAGGCTTTTGGCCAGACATGCGACACCCGATTTGTACAAGGAAAGTCCAGGGTTTGAACCCTTTAATGTGTCCCTCATGACATCCAAGCGAAACTGCCCAGAAGAGAATCTTAAGTATTGGCTATGCAGCTAAAGTATTCCCTTCAAACTTCATATTCAAGAGGACATTATAAGTGGCATCATCAGCTGTGAGGCCCTTGTCGATCATCTCATCATGCAAGCGAGATGCCTCTTCAAAATGCCCTTCCCTAAAGCATTCTGCGATCAAGGCACTGTACACAAAAGAATCAGGAGATAACCCCTTTGTATATATCTCATCCAAGCATTCTCTAGCATTCTCTATCTGAGCACCTTTGTAACGAAGACCATGCAAAAGAACCATGTAAGCGGTATCGTCAGGCATAATGCTCTCGGCTAGCATCTTTGAGTAAAGCTTTGAGGCCGAGAGAACATTTCCTTCTCTAAGTGACATGTCAATTAGGGTAGTGTAAGTGACCAAGTTACAAGGAACACCCTCCTCTTCCATCCTCCTATGCAACTTAAGAGCAGCATTCATATTACATTGATTTCGATGCCCCCCAATTAAGGTGTTGTATGTGACAGAGTCCGGAGCCAGACCAATTTCAAATAATTCATCGAAAAGCTTGACTGCAACATCGATATAGCCTCTCTTGCATAACCTATATATTAGGCGATTGTAAGGTACAATATCCACCCGAAGGCCTCTGCTTCTCATGTCATCCAGTAACTTCATAGCGAGATCAAAACTATCTTTCTCAATACATCCAATTATTAAGGTGTTGTAGGTTATATCATCTGGTATTATACCTTCCTCTTGAGTCATTTGCTCATAGAGACTACGTGCCAAATCTATGTTCCCTACCCTGCAAAGCCCATGTAACAAACTATTGACAGAAACAACATCTGGTTTTATTCCTGAGCTGACCATCTTTCCCCACAGGCCACAAGCCTCTCTCACTCTCCCCTCTTTACATAACCAATGGATGACAGTTGCATAAGTGACAACATTCGCTTCTCTACGATCCACTACCTCTTTGAACAAGTTTAATGCCTCTCTCCACATCCCCTTCTTCAGATAGACATTTAAAATAGAAGTAAGGATTTTTATTCTAGGAAAGAATCCTCTCTCTCTCATTTGTAAAAGAACTTCACAAGCCTTATCGAAGCTTTCATTTTTATAACAACCCCTGATCAGATTTTCATAGGTTGAACCAGTAGGCTGAATTTTATCGAACAATTCAAATGCGCCATCCAGATTCCCGTCATTGCAATATCCATTAATAAGGTTCGAAGCAGCCACCACATTGAGAGAGAAGCCATTGCAAAGCATCTCATCCTTGAGCCTCAATGCCTCTTCTAAGTTCCCCTCTATCGAGCACGCACCAATTAGACATGTATAAGTAAACTCAGAAGGAACCAAACCCAAGCTTTTCATCTCTCTCAGTAATTCGCAAGCCTTTCTCGAATTGGGTTTCTTACACAAGGCCTGAATTACACTGGTATAAATCACAGCATCCAATTTGCAACCCTTAGCCTTCATTTCTCGAAAAAAATCCTCGGCTTCCTCTGGTTTCCCTCCTTTTGAGCATGCATGCACCATGGTAACGAGAATTTCAGAATCCAAATCTGCTCCTCTATCTACCATCTCTCTATACAAATTCCACGCCTCATCTACAAAATCCAGCCTAACCAACTTTCTCAAATGTAAGTTTATGCACTCAATACTAGGGAAAACACCATTGGAAACCAGTCTCTTATATGCTTCTACAGATTCAGGGACCGACCCATGTCTCGTGTACCCATTTAACACCAAATCAAATACTTGAGGGTGAGATTCACACCTTTTCGAGGTCTCCATGAGACAATCGATAAAGGCTGGAGCACCAGGAATCGACTTTTTAGAGAAAAAAAATTTAATCAATTTACGCACACTCGGTAAATTTTTGTTTCGAGCAAGAATGTGAAGAGTAATGCAGAGAGGTTCGAGGCCTCGAAGATAGCCTCGCTGAGCGTCCGCCCATCTGAAATACTTCAGAGAAGCTTTTGGGTGGGATTGGTTGTTCAAGAGAACTTCTACTACATGTTCTTGGGTCAAAACAGTCTTGGCGGGAGAAAATAAGATTTCTCTATCGATCTGTGAGGTTTTAGAGTGAGAAAGTGAGATATCCTCATCAATTTGTGCATTGGGTAATGGAGTTCTTTCAGGAGTTGTTTCTGGAGGCAATGGGGAAGCAGGGGGAGTTTCAGGGACTTGTGAAGAAGACCCATCTGGGATTTGGGATTGCGAAGAGAGAGCGCAAAAGATGAGTTTCTTTGTTGGGTTCCCATGGAGAGAGCAGGGAAATGGAGAATGAAGAGAGAGAGAGAGCCTCATTGTGTCGCAGGTTCATTTAACTTAGAGGGAGGAAGAGGAGTGGGTTGGGGTTTCTCTGTAATTTGTGTTCCTACCTTCCTGATTTTGACATTTGAGTGGCTAAGGCGATTGTGATTCTCAAAAGGGTACTGCAACTTATTTTGGAGAGAGACTTTATTCTGATGCGATAGAGAGAGAGAGAGAGAGAGAGAGGACAATGGAGGTTTTGCCATTGGGACTTGGGGTGGGTGGTGTTAAGACGCTTGTGATTGATGAGAGAGTGTGTGTTTTGGGGCAGTAAGGTTTCTGCTTCGTGCCGAAAACCGCAAGGAAAAATAGTGTTATTATGGAAATTATTGTTAATAAACCTTTATTTAAGTAAAATTAAAAGAAAAATCTTTAACTTTTCAATACCTCTCCTTCATCAATTTTCACAAATTTTAGTTTTTTTTAACCAAAATGACGTTCACGATGATCTTTTTACCATAATATATTTTAAGATTTATGGTAATTAAAACACCGTAAAAAATTCAAAGAGTATTATGGTAATAGTTTGAATTATTATTAGAGTAATGATCCTATGAGACCCTCCATACCCATATGTGTAGGACCTCAAAGATCACCATTAAATTTGGTACAGATCTATAAAAAAGTTATCACATGAGTGTGAGACTTGACTTTTCTAGATATCCATAGCAATTTAATGGTCGTCCTTTGGGGTCCTACACACATGGGTGTAGGAAGGTCTCACAACATCATTTCTCTTATTATTGTGGGGAAGTCTTTACGGTATTCTTATCATGGTAATACTTTCTCGGTCAATTTCAAACCCCTATTGGTTAAAAAGCTTCAAACCGAAACTAACATCAGGGTTCTCCTCTCCTCCCCGATAGTTTTCTTTGGAGCTGTATTTTTCAAAAAATCCATATTCCCATGGGAGCACGATGTGGATCTACTCCATTGCTCAAAAATACTTCTTTAAGAATGCTTTTGTTCTAAAATTTTGAGAACTATATAAAAACTTAGAGATTATATCTTAAAAATTTGTGATTTGAAAAATACAATTAGTATGAATTTTTGTCAGACCGTAATACTACTTTTAAAGTATTACGGTATTTTAATTACCGTAATACTCCTTAAACTTATTACGATATTTAAATTACCGTAATATTCTTTACGGTAAAAAGACTAACATGAATGTTATTTTGGTTAAAAAAAAACCGAAATTTGTGAAAAATGGTGTAGGTAAGGTTTTGAAAAATTGGGGTTTTCTTTTTTTTTCCAATTATAGTAAAACATAAGTAGATTAGCGATAATTTCTTGTTTTTGTACTATAGATACAAATATATATATATATATATATATATATATATATATATATTCTAAACTTCACAACCCTTCAAATTACAAATATTCAAGATAGAGAGAGTTGTGAATGGTGGATTTATTAATTTTGTCGTCTATTCTTTAAAAAAATTTACTTTTGTGAGGCAATTTTGTAAATATTACTACGAGACAAATGATACTTTTGTCATCTCCATAAGGGATAAAATTGAAATTTTAATTAAAAGACAGATACTTTACAACACTAACTTCCAAAATGTCATCCTTTGTATTTTGAGGGTTTGTTAACTATAGACAAACCCATAGTAGTGATACTGTAAGACCTCTCACACCCATGTATGTAAGACCCCAAAGGATCACCATCTACTCACATGGATGTAGGAGGGTCTCATAGAGTTATTACTTTTATATATATAGATCAAATTATGTACGAATACTTGGTCAATCATCAAATGGGCCAAACATTCACCCCAACAATCAAAACTTGAAAAGTCCTTTCTGATTGTATAGGCTTCAGAAACTGTTGTTGCTCCAATGGTTGTTGCTCTATAGGAACATCCACCTCTGCAAGTAGTGGGGTTTCTATGATAACTTCTCTCTCCATAGGCTTCAGAAACTGTTGTTGCTCCAATGGTTGTTGCTCTATAGGAACATCCACCTCTGCAAGTAGTGGGGTTTCTATGATAACTTCTCTCTCCATGCCTCTCTCTCTCTTGTTCTTATTCTATTGTTGATTCTTCAATTGTAGCCATCATTAGAATGGTCCAAAGAGCGTCTGGGTTTCCTTAAATTGCAGTTGCAGAGAGAAAGAACAGTTGGTAGGAACTTGTGAGATTTGGTCAATGGAAACCCCCAAAAAAACCAGACAGTAATAATAAAAAAATTATCTATTCGAAGTTCTGATTTTTTACTAGATATAATATCTCTTCAAGTATTTATGGTTTATGTTGGGTTTGGTGAAGTCATCTTGCACACATAAACACATCTACACACACAGGGCATCACCAAGAGCTCAAAAGCTCCATACAGAGTGAGACATGTGGTCTTTGGCTCATTACCTTCGGCCATACGGATGTTGGTAGTACCGTGATCTTCAATCTCACTAAAGTGTCTACCTCTTATTGTTCGAAGCATATGATTCACACGGAGATAAGCAAATAGATAGAACGTATGCCAACATTCCAATAAATAAAAAAAAATGAAATATTCTATATAAAATCATGAACAAATCAAATCCTATTTTGGGTGGATATGGAATTTATAAACTGAAACCAATTTCATTTTTGCAATCTGGAAGGGTGGTGTAGGTAGTAGTTTGGTTTTCCAATCGTAAATGGCGAAAGTCAATTAGATATTGTAGTTTATTCTCAAAATTCCATACAAAACAATTAACATGAAAATCATAGGAGGGTTTTGGAGAAGCAAGGAAGATTTAAGCAAAATCTAAAGTTATGCAGCAGTATTGGAATCAAACTATGAAGAGACACTGCAGAGAAACGCGCATACATATCTGAAGCTTCAAGTACAAGCACATCAGGAAAAATATCTGTTTTAGGCATAATCAATAAATATTTTCCATGTTCCGAGGAGGAATATGTGGTGTCAAAAAAAAGATGGTTAAAACATAATGAACATCAAATGTTTAGAGCTCAGAAACGTTTTTTTAGAAAAAAAGCCCGAGCATAATTGGTTAGCGTTCGACAATTTGCAACACTACGTCCTAGGCTTAATTCCTATCAAAGGTAGGAGCCCTCTCCCCTCGGACTCACCCAAAAAAATAATGTTTAGGGCACCTAAGAACATAAGATTACCTGGTATCCTAACAGAATCATTGAATTATATTGGTGAATTAGGATAGCAATCCAGGACATGCATTTTCTTTCTCTTTGGTTTGCAAAAGTCAAGCCTCGAAGCCATAATAAATTCACAATCAGAAAATAAAACAGCAATGGAATATGGCTAAGAATTAATCACCAGAAAGTTAATAAGTAACTAGTTAACTGCAATCTATAGATGAGACTAGCTGTACGTGATATGTGGATTAACGCCAATGCAAAAGGATCCAATTAGTAGGGGCGGCAACGGACCAAACTCGACCCGTACTTGTAAGCTGTTGGAGATAAAATACTTCAAGCCCTAATCGTACGAGTGTATTAAAAATTGTATACAATAAGAACTCGTAGTTATCTTTACCTATTAAATGACAATTCAATCGGCTTGAAATTTAATAGCGAGTGATTGACCTTGTTGTCAATAATATGGATATATGATAGTCAAAAACAGGCTTAAAAAAAAAAAGAAAGAAGCTCACAATGACGGTGGCAATGAATACCCGACTAGACCTTGGACCCGACGGGTGCAGGTATGGGTCCAACTTTTAGACCGTTCGGATCGGGTTTGGATCCAAACCCTGAACCAAAATACTATTTGGGTCCAGGCCGTTGCCAACCCTACCAATTAACAATAAACTTCTACTCCATGTGTAAGCTCATAACCGAAACTATTGATAATTGCAACTGCAACACATGGTGATCACATGAAATCCAGCTGAATGTCAAGAGAACATTTTAATGAAGGTCTAGCAATAAAATACATTTGATGAAACCTAAGGTCTATGAATTTATAAATGCACGTGTCCAAGAGAACTCTATTGCAACAATGGAGGGATGATAGATTTGAAACTCAATTTGAATTTTAAATAAATGCCTACAAAATTTCTCTATAGATGAATAAAAACTAATTTGGGCTTTGGGGTCGAAAGATCCCCTCAACTTGGTTAGTCGTCACCTAACCACGATTTTCTGCTTTCTGTTTGTGCAAGAATGTACAGCCATTTTTCTTTGCAAGTATACTTGATTGTATATATGTTTACTAAAGAAATTGCAGAAAAATATGAAATAGAGGCAAATGTCTTCTAGCACCATGAGATATGTCTTTCTTTACTCAAGAAATAGCCGGTAAGTATAATAGCATATCTCAATCGACACAGGATCTATGAATCAAAAAGTGTGTTAACAAGTCAAATACATGTCTAAATACAATTGATAACTCCCCCCCTCTTTCAATTAATAGAAGAACCCTCAGAACTCAATTGATAAGGTTGCTTCTCTCTCTCTCGGTTTCGAGAGACACAAAAGTAGCATAGAAATCAGCAAAAACTTCATTTTTTCAATCCAAAACTATATAACTCAAGTAGCTATACAATAATCGGTTGTAGTGAATTTCAAGACATAATTTTTCTTATTTTTCTTTGAATTCTTGAATGGAGAACAACCACTTAAAAGTCAGGGACAAGCGCTTATTGCTATGAGTTTCCTGTTGTTTGTCAACACCACCTCAAATAGGATATGTTCTTGACCGCATCTGTCGCCAGAATAAGTGCTGGCATTGGATGGCTGGGATTCCACCGACATATAGTAAAGTCGATCGCTATAACTGTATATAAATCCATACAAATTTTAAAATTCTGTAAGGGGATGGCACATTAATCAGAACAGCTGCTACTTTCTTGTGGTAGACTGATGCTAGCAAAATGTAGTGATAGTCAACTACTAATATTGTATATAAAAGTTACAAACCCTAAATAGGGAAGTTTCATTCTTAGTCATGCCCATCTGGAGCCAAACAAAAACAAGGTTTAGGGCTCTTTTGGGTGACAACTCACTTGTGTTTAAGAAGGCTTGCCCAAATAGGGGTCCATCCAGCCATAAAAGGCCACCTACTTGGAAGTGAGAATGCTAGTTTAATTCATCTCACAAATCGACAGCTTTATATGGAGCACCGACATTCGCACACGTGCACACACACATACACACAAATGAAACCCTAAAACACAGTTCTGCCAATTAACAAGAAGAAACCAAAGGCACAAAGAATGGAAATTTTTGAATACTTAAAAACTCCCTAAATGTGGTAATGTATAAATCACGAAACTTACGTTAACAGAGGTTCCAATATTCCTGATGTGCGTAAAGTGCTCCTTTTAATCCATTCGGTCCAGCAAAAACAGCAGGTATTTGTTGATGGGCACAAATGTTCTCTTAATTTAGAACTGATTCAATAATTAACTCTGAACACGATAAAACTTTGGCTCAAGTACCCAACATAGCAATATACTCTAAAAAACCCTGGATCAGAGTAAAATGGAGGCTCAAAACTCAAAGATTAACAATTCTAATCTGACCGGAAATGTTTCGTTGTGGGCAAGGCATCATTCTGGCAGAACGAGAGTAAGTAGGCAATAAAATTATAGGCTTAAACACCCTTCCCCCTAAGATAAAAATTATAGCAGAGACCAAAGCACTAGGATTAAGGCAGGCTCTAAAAAGCACTCGAACTTGGGGTCTCATATCTTGTTGAAGGCCACAATGTCACAACTCTGAATGTATTCATTGGCCGGCTCAGCTGTGAGGTGCTCCTCAATCAGAGTATCGACAGAGACCAGATCATCCACGATGGACAACAAGATCTGGAGCTTCTTTATTCCATAACCAACAGGAACCAGTTTAGCTGCAAAACCAACACAGATTATGAAAATCCTTAGATTCTTCTAAAGGTGTTTTGGACAGCTTTTTTTCTTTTTGATAATAATTTCATAATAGTTTCTTAGGGTTGGGTACTTATAATGTAGGTCTAATCTCTAACACTTTGTTTTTATTTTTTTATTTTATTTGTTCTATTCATTGATTATTATTCATGGGTATTGTTCACATAAACTATTATCATTACCACTCATAGGTCACTGTTTACAGGGATATTTCCAAATTTTTACGATTGTTTACAAATATTTTAGTGTCTTAAATTGTTTACTTGATCTTCAGTTACTTTTAGAGTTTCATAGGCTTTCATAGAAGGTGGGACATCACATAATGGAATGTTTATGTTATTGGATTGAATTTTATTTTTTATAAGAAAAAAGCTCTTCTCTTGGCTTAATTTACAACCACGCGTTTTCCGAAACCTCAGAACAAGTAAAAAATAAAAAATTATGGAGAAAAAGCATAGTTGTAACAAGCCATCAGAAGAAAAACTTTCTTTCCTAAAATTAATTTATTCCAATAATATAAACATCCATTAATGTGACGTCCCCCTTTTTATAAGCCTATGAAACCCTAAAATTAACTAACGATCTAAATGAACAATTTAAGAATCTAAGATATCCTTAAAGAATATTAAAATATCAGAAATATGCTGTGAACGGTACCATGGAAGTATATGTGAACAGTAAACATGAATAATAACCAATTAATAGTAAAAAAAGAAAAAACAAAAAAACAAAAACTAAGTGTTGGAAATTAACCCTAGATTATAATTTCTAAAAATTTATAACCATAATAAAAAAATAAAGCGTACTTCCACATCCATGAAATTGAAAAATTAAATTAAATTTTTTTAATCACCTAGCTCTCAGTGCCTAACCTTAGTGACTAGCAATGGATTTTGGAAAACCATAGTGCATTGAGGACATCACCATCCAAAGTAATGATGAATGGTGATCAACAGACCAACAATGTCTTTTTGTGGTATACTGGCAAGCATAACCATCCTTCGTTGGGCACGAGTATATTACAGTCAATCGAAATATAACATACTATCCATGATAAGAGAACATAAGCATAATGGGGTGAAGAAACCATACATGCCCCCCAAAAAAGACCTGGCATCTCGAGGTTGCGAACAGCCTCTTCAAGCTTCTTCATGTCGGTCTCATCATCCCAAGGTTTCACATCTAAGAGAATTGATGACTTCCCACCTGAAAAAGCAACAAAAAAGAAATTAACGCATTAGTATTGCAAAACTGTGAGGGAGAATTATCAAAAGATGGGTCATTTCTGTACCATGTCAAGTGACGTGTCTACAACTCCTATTTTTACAGAATTGTAAATTACAAAAAAATGTGACAGTTGGCAAAGGACAAAAATATAACAAGTTCATACTTCAAAATCTTACAAATCACACACACACACCACATCTAATGGAATAAATTGCAGTCTTACTCTCTTTCTTCTGGGAAGAAGATTTTGCAGCTGCCCGCTCTTCTTCAGCCTTCTTGTCCTCCTCGGTTTCATCACCAAAGAGATCCAAATCATCGTCATCATCAGCATCCTTTGGAGAGTCCTGAGAAACGAAATCGAGTAATCAATGACAACGTTTTCCTTTTTTGTGTGTTAAAATATCAGTGAAAACTGATAAAGCAAACAAAAACATCAACAATGCAAAGTCACTTAATATAGGCCACAAGCAAAACAAGAAAGAAACTTGCAGACCTTTGGGACATCCTGAGCAGCAGGAACATCTGTAGGGGCTGGGCCACTGATTCTCACACCCACACTTTCACCAGGAAAGCTGACAAAAATACATCGCGACATTACAAAGTGAAAATAGAACAGAACAATGGGGAGTTTCAGAGACCAAAGCTACTCCAATATAAAAAGGCCTAGGTGACAACTTTTACACTTAAAAACATGCAGAATGTTCCAAGGGCCATAAAATGTTTCTCAATTTGGTAAAAAAACATTAAAAAAGGGACAATAGTCACAATACCCTGGTGAAATTTTGAGACGCATTACTATGCGAAGTTGATGTATTTTGAGAGTGGTAAGTTGACACTTTCAATAAGTAGGATATGACACTACAACCCAAATACTACGTGAAACATGCAACCATTAATATGCACAAGAGCACCACAGAATTAGTTAATACGTGGGATGTTGTATAATGCAATCGAAATACTTACGGGATGCACTACTTATACAATGCAATGGGGATACCAAACATCAAGTTTCTCCTTTCTTAAATTAAAGAAAACAAAAATCTAATTTGGCAAAAGATAGAGGCCTGAGCAATTATTTCAGTCATGAACTGCTATGGCCAATCATCCCCAAACCCCTTACCCTGTATCTCACTGGATGACTGTTCTAGTAAATGATCTGAAAAAGGTCAGCTCCATTGGAATGCCATACTGAATATATGCATCTTATCCAAATTTGGATATGTACCACTACAACAGTAAAGTTTTAGTCCCCATTGGCACAGCCAAACATTCCATCAAGGGAGTTATCTATAAATGGAGGGGAGTTTTCTAACAATCAGTCAGAGTCCTTCAGCCATGGATGTAGAAGTGGACAAAAAACATTTTTCACGCTTAAACAGGTGCAGAAAAGAAGGCCTTGTTCCCAAAAGCTGATCTTACAAAGAGAAGCCTTATAGTGTAAAATAGGCCCCGTTTGGATGTCTTTTCTGTCAGCACTGTTTGGATGTATTTTCTGTCAGCAGGAATAAACTTCCCTTTGTGCTTGGAGTGGCAGACCGCTATCGTATGCACAACTTTTGGAATGGAACCCCGCCTAACATGTTTAACAAAAATTCCCAGATTTTAACAAGATGATACAAAAATTCACCAATTGCACCAACATTTTCTAGTGTTTTGTTTATTCTATTTCTAAATACCCCATTAATATCCACCAAATTGATTTAAGAAGCTAAATCCAAGAACTTGATTGCTTATGCTAGCAGAAACATTCCTTTTCGACGCATTATCAGTGTTGGAAACATTCCTTGTACAAGCAGAAATATTCCTTTTCGCTCTAGGTGATCCAAGCTTTTGAAAATCTCATGTGAATAATATATCCAAACTTAAAATCTCAAATCCACATTTTAAGTTTTTTTTTGTGAGAAACAAGATAATGATTGGAAGATTGAATATTGACCACAATTGCCAAGAATCACAGCTTCTCAAATTTGGTATAACCTAGGATGAAATCTTCGATCTCTCAAATCCATCTTTGCTCAAATAGGAGCTATCTAGTGGATGATCATTAAGATTAAGGGTCCAGTTAATATACTGATCTCATCTTTTAGGTCTATCATAGAGATACTTTTCATTTTTAATCAATGAAAATAATTAGTGTTCGCCAACTCTACCAAGTCAACACCGATGTTTTAAAAAACGGTCCGCCTAGCACCTAGGCGGCCTGAACCAAAAATCCACATGCCTAGACCCAGGACGCCCTACACGGGTGGATGTACCAGGGCGAGCACCCAGGCGGGCAACCAACGCCCAGTTCCGAGCGGGCGCTAAGAGCCGAAAAAAGGTCATTTTGACCCCCCCAAGGTTGTATAAAAACGTTATGGGGTTTATTTTTAACCCCAAAGTGCAAAAAAAAAAAACCCTCAATCTCTATGCTAAACTTATTTCTGATAATCTAAAGTAATTTCTGATAATCGAAAGTATTTCTTGTGGATTGAAAAAGTTTTCTTTTTTCATTGAAATTATTTTTAGGGTGTTATTGATGGCATTTCAAGACTTTTGAGTTGATTAGTAGCTCGATTGAGGTAACCAACACCAAAGATCAAAGATTGGGCAGAAAAAGTCAGTTTGTAATCTTTATTTCAGTTTAATTTTTCCAATTTGAGATGTCTTTGTCAAGGTCTACTATGGGTGGAGATCCAGGTTGAAAATATTGTGTTAACCCGGATAAAAATAATAGGATTAAAATTATGTGCAATTTTTGTGGACATATTTCTAATGTCGGCATAAATAGATTTAAGAAACATTTTGCCAGTATTAGAGGTGATGTTGGCCCACGTAAGAAAGTCTCAAAGCTTGTAAAGAAAGAAATTTCTGAATACATTGAAGGTGAAAAGAGTAAAAGAATTTCAAAACAAAAGGATATAACAAAATTAAAGTCAGGGGTCCATGTTTTTAACAAGAATATTGACATTGATGAAAAGTAGAAAGAAGAGGTAGCAATGGTTGGTACTTAGAGCTCTAAGAGCAAGAGGGCTTTTGGGTCTAAGAAGCTTCGAATGAGAGGGCCTATAAATAGCTTTTTTACAACTAGCCCTGAGAAAAAAATTGAGAAAGGCAAGGAAGGAAAGGGGAAAAAACAAGTGACAATTGAAAATAGATTTAAGAAGAAAGATAAAGGTAGGGTGATTTGCCTACTATTAAATGAATTCTTTTTAAGGCTAAGGAGGTTACAAACTTCATATACAGTCTCATACTTACCCTTAGCATGATGCACAAGTTTACAAAGAAGAGAAAGCTAATGAGGCTTGAGGTCACTAGATTCTCCATTGCCTACCTTAGTCTACAGAGCATGCATAGGAGGAGGATCGCACTAAGGTCTATGTTTGCTTCAGAGGAGTGGAGTAGGTGTAAGTCTAGAGATGCCAAGCGAAAGAAGGCACGGGATATTGTCCCTTCAAAATATTTTTGCCATGGGGTGAAGCATGCGATATTAGTATTTCTTCCCTTGGTTAAGGTCTTGCTCTTGGTTGATGTTGATAGATTGTAGAGAATTTGGGAAATGCTGCAGCTAAGTACGACCCAATTTGGGAGATTATTGATGACAAATGGAATAGGCAGCTCCATAGACTATTGCATGCATTGGGGTACTACTTGAACCCCAAATTCTTTTATGCAAATGCGAATATTGAGTCAAAACGGATAATTATGGAAGGTTTTAATGAGTGCCTTGAGAAATTAGTTCCCGATCCACGTATCCAAGATAAGATATCAACTGAAGAGCTTATTTCGTACAATTGTCTTTGATGTCATTTGGGAAAGATATGGCATTAAGACAGAGAAACAAAGACGAACCAGGTAATATACTTTGTACTTTTGTTTTATAAATTATAATTTTCTTTCAAGTTTCAATTTCCTAAGATTATGTGTGATAATGTTAAATACATAAATTAATTATAAAGGTTGCCTACATATTGTGGCCCAATGGTGGAGACAACATGGGAGTAGGGCTCCAAACCGCCAGAAGATGGCTATACGAATCTTGAGTTTGACAACTACCTATTCTGGTTGTGATCCCAATTAGAGTTTGTTTGAGATGGTATTTTACTATTTTATAATTTTATATGCTTTTCTTGTTTACAAGTACATTTTTCTAATACAAAATCATAGAAGGTAAGAAGATCATAGACTCATAGTAGTTACTTATGAATTTTTCCTTATAGGTGCATACAAAGAGAAGAATAGGCTTGAGCAAAAGAAGCTCAATGACTTGATTTTTGTTAGAGAGAAAAACAAGCCAAAGAAGGATCTCATCTCTTCGAAAGACATGGAGAATGCTTTAGATTGGCTAGTTGGTGCTGAGGAGGTCTTCCCTAGGGAGGGTTTGACAAGGGAAATGGTCAAGGAGGCTTCAGGGCAAGCTTTTGATCCTAGGAAGGCCACTCGACCAACGACTTCTGCTGGTACTTCACACTCACGGAGGGAGATCAGAGGAAGTGGAGGCAGATTCAAAAGAATCTTTGGAAGAAGAGGAATATGTTGAAGAGGGTGATGATTCTGATGATGACGGCCTCGCTTCTGATGCAGATGGAAGCAATGAAGATGATGATTCAAATTCTAATTGATGTCTTTTCTCTTCTTTTGTAGTAACTTTATTGCACTATCTTGGTATGGGCTTTAGACATTTGGACAATTTTGTTAAATGGTTTATATTTTTTTTGCCTTTTTGGCCTATTTTCTTGTGTGGTTTAATAGTTTTTTATAGTTTTGGAAGTCAGTTTGTTGAAGACTTGGAGACTTGGATGTTATTATAGTTTATTTTATGGATATGGAATATGGAGAATATGAGAGTTGGAGACCTTACAATAGCCTATTAAACTTTTAAATGTTTGTATGGTTTGAAATTATGAACAAGTTTATTCTCAACTAGAGATATGTGATATGTTTGTATATACAAATGTATGTTGCGAAATTGCAATATTTTCAAATGGAATAAATTACAAAATTTGACACAAATATATGCATATATGGGCATTTGGATAGCAAATACATGAAACCTTGGTCAACACAGGACGCCCGCCTACAAGACGACCGCCTAGCGTTTCTTGAAACCTTGGTCAACACAAATTCGCCCAAGTCTCTCGAGCTCAGTAGGGTGCCAAGCCCATACAAAACCACACCCTCCCCACTCCCACCCCCACCCCCACCCCCACCCCCACCCCCACCCCCACCCCCACCCCCCTCCCCCCAAAAGAAAACAACAAGGGCATACAAAAAAACAGCCATTGTGCACAAATTTTGCCCATACACTCATTTTTGCATAGCTATCCATTACCTAGATCAGATGTGAGCAAAAACATCAAATTTGACAGATATTTCAACCTAGGTTTTGCCCGATTTTGAAGTTGTGTTTTTTTTTGCAAGAGTTGGTCGAGCTCCGATGAAAATTATTCCCCAAAGCCTATTTTTTCTTGCGTTCTTTGTCCAATCATAGGCTTTTTTCTCAATAAAGAAAAAGCACTAAATAATAGGATTTGCAAGATTTTAATAAAGATTTAATATGCACCCGACATTTTCACAACTGTAATAGACTAAATCGTAACTTGAATATTCACCTGACATTTTAATAAAGATTTAATTTTTATATATTTTTATTTCTTCTATTTTTTTTCTGAATCTTCATAATTTTTTCCGAATCCACAAGATTTTTTTGAGGAACCAACTTGGACAGCAAGAGTAGCTTGTATCAGACAAGGGACGAGTTAGGCCACCAAGGTACTTTTTCCAACATTGCTAAATAGTAACTCCCAAGCAATTTTTGTGCAGTCACCATTTATAACTTGCTACCTTCATTCTCATCCAAATGATCCTAATCCACTTTTGCCACGAATCTAGCATTGAAGAAGTAAAAGGCACAACACAACTTTCCAAGAATGTACACCGTCCCCAAATCAGCAAATCAGAAATCCCTTACAAAACCTATATAACGATGAAAAATGATAAGCATCAAAGCTTTTCCACTAGTCTCTAGTCTTCATATCCACTAAGCAAGTTTCTGGTTTGCAACACTAGGATCTGCATTCACACTTCTTGGGTTAATAATGAAGCTCCCCACACAGCCTGAAATAAATGCCTGTCATCCACCCCCAAAAGCTAGAAAATCTCTTTGAATTTCTCCCAATGGTAAAATATCTCACAGAAAATTGAATATCACAGGATGCTATCATGGGACTGAGGAAAAATCAAAGAGATCTCATTTGATCCTTCGCAGAACCACACAAAACATAGTAGCATTTAAAAGATCGAGATGGAGTTTATAATGATTAAGCATAACTGAAACCCTTCACCGCTGTCCTTTTTTCTTTATTTTTTATTTTTTTGGGGGAAATCCTTCACCATTGTCAACTGGACACCATCAATAACTAAAATAACTTGCCACCATCGGTCAAGACCCTTCCAAAGCAATCCATCATCATAGTGTAGAAAGGAAAGAGGACCCCTTGCTTGTAACTCATCATACGTCTACGATATGATTCGCTCGCGGATACCATTGGTGAGAATACACAACCCTTTGAAATGCCATCATATTGCTCACCCCACCTCATTCTCAACAAATCATGCATCCATTTAAGATGAACACTCCCCAGGCCACTAATTTAACCATAAAGGTCATCATAAAATCATGATGAATAGAAAGGCAGTTAAGGGGTGATATTTTGATACCATGAAAGGCAATAGCCCTAAATTCTTGCAGTTTTTAGCACAAATGCTAGAGCATATGCAATGCCATACCAATAAAAAAAACACAAATTATGTAACATCATATCATATAACATAAAATTACGAATTTTCAAAAACATTTGAAACATTAAAAAGCAAAAACATATCCAGATGCATCAGTCACACTCAGGCCAACAGAAACCAATAAAGAACATTACTCATATCGTTCTCAATCGCATCATAGAGAATCCAACAACCCTATAAAAAAAATCATGAATTAAGTATGAAAAATATAACATGCAAGACCACAAAAATAACCAATGAATTCCCACAAATAAATGTTTAGCACCACACTAAGACCCCTAGATCATCAATTTACAGTAATAACCCACATATAGATCTTCCACAGTTTTCGTTCAAAGAAAAGTTAGATCATTCCTACAAAAATAAGGATATAAATTTTCCAATATAATATAAGGGAGAAAAAAATCAATTTTCAATTGAAATAAATCAGTATGCAACTAAAACCACATTCATTTTGTTAAGATGGATGAGCAATTGCCCCTAACAAAAGCAATTTATATTCAATTTGTTACCGGATACAATTCATAACTTCCATGACTAAAACAAAAAACAGTAAATTCTCAAACACTTACCAGTCACTTAAGACTCCAGAGATGTTTTTATACCAGAAAGCTGCATAAGGGAACTCATCACCGGGAGCACATGGAACTGCCGCATAAACCTTGATATCATCTTTACTCACTTGAGTTCTGAACAAATCAAAAGCACAGAAAGACCTCAAAATAATAAATAAACGCAATTAAACTGAAAAAAGAGAAACAGACTGAACAATACGGAAAGAATTCAAACAAAGACGAGACTTTTAGGAGAGAGATACCCTGTAATGAACACCTTTCCAGAGAGGAATTCATTTAGGCTCTTGAGGCCAGCCTCAGTATGAAGATCTGAAAATGATGGCGCCATTGAAGCTAAGTGAGAGAAAGCCCTTCGTCGTTTCTCTCTCTCTAGAAAAGATCCAAGGACGAATAACCAGTGGCGCTCAGAAAACCCTAAATAGACCTCTTTCTCTATTTATAGAAGGGGAACGTATGTACCAGGATTCGCATTATAATATTCAAAAAGGAAAACGTTTATATGGAGCCGAGGATCTAATCAATCAAATTAGATCCCACCTCAAAATTTTCACTACAAGAAGTTGTTTTGATGCTCAAATATCATTGAATTGATCATCTCGACATTAAGATGCGTTGACATGAGAAAAAAAATAGATTTCAAGTTTTCGAAATAATGCATCTTGTAACGTATTTTTAGACCGTCAATTTTTAAGTTTTTATAAATTTACTCGATCTACACTATTTTCAAAGTTTTAAATTTTATAATTAAATATAAAAACATATTTTAAGGCTATTATAAAGATTTTCAGTAGAAAAATGGTTTCAAGATACTATTTGAAAATGTATTTTATTTTGATTACTTAGAACCTTGGCTCCATACAAACCACACCCATTGAAAAAAGTTTATAAAAGGTTGCAATTAGACGTGCATGTAACAATCAATCATAAAAAGTTGTTTGGATATTGAAAAATGCTCTAATTTACTATCTCGACATTGAGATTTATGAATATGAAAAGAAAAAAGGATTTTGGCTCCGTAAAATAATGTATCTTGCGACTCAGTATGAATATCTTACGACTCAGTATGAAGACCGTCTACTTTCAATATTTTCATGTCTTTATAGATCTATTTGATTTGAACTACTTTTAGAGTTTAAAATTTTATAATTAGAAATGAAAATAGATTCCCAACCTACCTTAGGAATTTGTGGTATCAAAATTACATTTATAATAAAATTTAGAGGTGCGCAATAATTTGATTGTTTAAGGTTGCAACCTTATGCAAACCACAACCTTATCTATTTGTCTAAGGAAAAATTTATGTAAGTGCAAGGCTCTAAACAATCAAATTAAGGAGCGCCTCAAAAATTTCACTAGAAGAGGTCATTTTGATGCCCAAATATCCTAAAATTGATCATCTCGACATCAAGATGCATGGACATGAAAAAAAGTAGATTTTAAGTTTTAGAAATAGTGCATCTTGTAATACATTTTTGGATTGTCAATTTTCAAGATTTTTAAGTCTTCATAGATCTACTCGAACTATACTACTTTTGAAACTTTAAATTTTATAATTAGAGATGAAAATATATTTTAAGGCTATCACAAAGATTTCCATATTAAAACTACATTTCTCGACACTATTTGAAGGTGCGTTTTACTTTAATTGTTTAAAGCCTTGGCATTATATAAACCACACCTTTCATCTAATACTACATTATTAAATCTATCTATCAATACTATTTTGTAAAAACAATGAAGGATCCTATTGTAAAAACTGCATTTTCAGCATAGTTTTGAGGCCCACCTTCAATAACATAAGGTTGACACCTTAGACAAACTTAACTCTTTTATGAAACACTGGCTTATCATGTATGTTGAATTGGTTATACTTACATCATTGACATAAAATATGAACATGGTTTTCGATTTGTAAATTCCAATAGTCATTACATTAGCATCACGATCAATGACAATATTTTCAAATTTCCCAATTTTAGGAATTTTAAAAGACATTTTGTTTTGAACAAAAGTTGGATGGTAGCTTTTTTTATTCTCATAGTATTTAAGCTATATTAAATTTAAATTATAAAATTTATAATAATACTTAAGAAAGACATTTATGTATACTAATTACAAATTTTCAAAAGTATAAAAGGCGATATCCTATTTTCCAGAAAACAAAGGATATCATCTTTCTTTGTGTTTATGAATTTTATGAACTTTATATTTTAAAGTATTGATATTTCTGATTTACAAATATTTTTATTTTAATATATTTTATATTTTATTAGCAGATGTTATAGTTTTATATTGTTAATAGCTAATTTTTCTAGATAATTTAACTAATTATATTAGTACAATTTAAATTCTCCTATAATTTAACTTATTTAAGATGACCATAAAGTCTAATATCATAATTGTTATAATTAATTTTTCTTTTTGTTATTTATATCTTTAGATGGAAATTTTTTATTTCTTTTAGATGTTTAATGATATCATCACACGTATAAAGCACATGCTTTAACTATGGGGTCGTAAGTTTCGACACCGCCCAATTATTTTATTGACGGTGATTAAGAGAGAGGGGGGCTAGAACAAAATGGATCATCTAATAAAGCCCTACGCTACTTGCATTCGTCCGTATGGTGATTGAACGGCGATAAGACTTGATCACAAATGGCACTGCATGATCCTATGCACAATTTTCGTTAGCTAAGATATACTGATGAACATGCAAGATGAGAGAATCATAAGACCATTAAAAATTCTTAAAAAAATATTTTGAAAAAAAAAAACTTCCGCATATAGAAATGTAAAAAATGAAGGTCCTACAAAGTTTAGGCTTTATGAAAACAAAATAAAGCCTCACTTCAAATGTGTGGAGAAAGACAGATGCCATAATACTGGAAGAATCGCTTCTCGATTAATGTACAATGTTACACCAGCCCAAGACTCACAACCAAAGAGATAGAAGAAGAGCAATCAATATGAGGTGGAAGAAAAACATTCATTTAAAGATGAAAAATGGGGTACACAAAAGCAATAAAACATGAGACCAAATTTTCTCACTACACACCTCTCTTTAAATAGAGGTTATGACAATCATATTTACTATAATAACTTAACTACAAATCATCTAGTTTCATAACTTCCTACTACACAAACTTACATTACATCACTCATAATAAAATAAATTAAAGGCCAATATAATTTCTAGAAAATACAATTTAACCATTTTAACACTCTCCCTTAAAGTGATTTTCTAAAGAGGAGACCATGCTCTTAAGTGTGATGTGATCATCTCCATCACATCCAAAAATCGAAAATTCAGCCATTTGACCGGCCATCAACGAAATTCTCAAACTCCACCAAGGATGATTGTATAGCCCACCTTTGAATAGAAGCATCATAGGGAAGAAATAGCTTATTTTGGAACAACATGAGATCTCCGGACAAAGATTCTCGATCTTTAAGAAAAATTTGGAAATAGAAATATCACATTGAGTTGAGTTCCCAAATCAGCACTAAAATTATTCAACCTTCCACTCATATCCATCTGAAAAGAGACAATCGATCTTATTCACCAAGTGAATCAATATAATATCATCGCCACGCTTGTGGCTCTGACACCAAATGGAGAAAGACAAATGCTACAATACCGGAACAATCCACTTCTCAATTAGTGTAACAATGTCACACTAGCCCAAGGCTCACAACTTAAGAGATATAAGAAGAACAATCAATATGAGGTATAAGAAAACTTTCATTCAAAGATGAAAAATGGGATAAACAAAAGCAACACAAATTTGAAACATGCGACCCAATTTTCTCACCACACTTCTATTTATTTAAATAGAATCATATTTACTACAATAACTTAACTACTAATTATCTAGTTTCATAACTTCCTACTACACGAACTTACAAGTACAATCTCATTACATCACTCATAATAAAATAAAATAAATGCTAATATACTTTCTAGAAAATACACTTTAACCATTTTAACACTTTCCCTTCAAGTAATTTTCTAGAGAGGAGACCATAAACTGGCTCTTAAGTGTGATGAGATCATCTTCATCACTTCCCAAAATCGAAAATTCGGCCATTTGACTGGCCATCAAGGAGATTATCAAACTCCACCAAGGATGCTTGTATAGCCTACCCTTGAATAGAAGTAACATAGGGAACATACTCTCTCTTTAACCCACGAATGATGCACTGCTTCTTTCATGCCTCCGAAATAGGTTATTTTCGAACAACATGAGATCTCCAGACAAAGATTCTCGATCTTTAAGAAAAATTTGGAAATAGAAATATCACATTGAATTGAGTTCCCAAATCAACACTCAAACTATTCAACCTTCCACCCGGATCCATCTTAAAAGAGACAATCGATCTTCTTCACCAAGTCAAGACAATATCACCGCCACCCTTGTGGTTCTAATACTATATGGAAAAAAACAGATGCTACAATACCGAAACAATCCACTTCTCAATTAGTATAACAATGTCATATTAGCCCAAGGCTCACAACTAAAGAGATATAAGAAGAACAATCAATATGAGTGGAAGAAAAACTTTCATTCAAAATTGAAAAATGGGGTACACAAAAGCAATACAAATTTGAAACACGTGACCAAGTTTTCTCACTACACCTCTCGTTAAATAGAGGTTCATACAACCATATTTACTACAATAATTTAACAAATAACTACTTAGTAGTTTCATAACTACCTATTACACAAACTTACAAGTACCATCTCATTACATCACTCATAATAAAATAAAATAAAGACTAGTATAATTTCTAGAAAATACACTTTAACAATTTTATCAAAATCCTTGTATGAAAAGCAACACTTTTGGGAATATAAATCTCCATGATGGCTCTAAAATCAAATTTCAACATTACTAATAAAATTTGAAACTAAAAAAATGGCAAAGACCTTACGGATCAATGAATATCTATTTTTAGGGTGAAATGGACAGTCTAGATAATTTGTTATAATATACACTATTTGTTGAGCTTAAATTCCTTATTGTTTTTTACATCCATAATGTTGAAGCTGAGATGATCAATATAGAAGTTTTCCAATACTTGAATTGCAATTTCCGATTTCCGATAGTTATGAGGTGAGGCTTTACTTATTTTGATAGAGCTGCAGCGCTATCAAAGAGTTGCAGCCTTATCAAACCATTTTTGAGATAAAGAGAATAATACATGCCTATTAGGATATGTTCATTATAACTGATAATTCACTATTCTTACAAATTACTCATGATCCAGAATTATTTATTGTTCCGTAGCGTCCATCATAAGTTATATGAAATAAACTCATGAGCAGTTTTACACATATTTTTCTCTATTTGAAATAAACTTTTTTTACCAATGCTAACAAATTTTATTGAAAAAAATATCAACTTCATTAAAAAAAAAACAC